CTGCCAGCCGAGTTTTCTGGCTGCTTGTGCCTCCTGGTATGGGGTGAGTGCGTGGCTTGCTGCGTGGGGAGAGCTCCTGGGCTGTGTCCTGCAGGTGGTGGCTAGTGGCAACCTGAAGGGCTTGCCCAGGTTGTGCGGAGAGACAACGAAGCTCTGGCCTCTGCCAGGGTTGGGAGCAAGTTTTCTAGAAAACAGACTGGTTTAGAAGCGAGTCCCGTTTCAGCAAGTGGTTCTGAAGGCTCTTCATCTTGGTATAACTCTTGGTGTTTGGTGTGGGAGTCTGCAGAGAGGCTGTGGGTATCCCTGGAGGAACGGGGCTTTGGGGCATCCAGCCCTGGAGGGGTAGCTGGGATCCAGGGCTGTGCCGTCGGCGTTGGTTTTGGCCAGTGGCGTCAGCGATCGCCATCCCTAAAAACAGAGGCTGTGCTGTGGATGGTCAGGGATGATTGTGTGTCCTACTGCGCAGCGGTAGGGTGATGGAGAAGGGACAGAAGTTGGTGGCACTGAGCTGGTGCGAGCCCATGGCAAAGCAGGGACCACCGGCTCTCGGGCTGAGCTGGGAGCATCCTCATCTTCTCCCCAAAAGCTTCTTGTGGGCAGTACATTAAAAAAAAAGGATGAGGGTGAGGCAGTTCTGTAAAAATTTGGAGGAGAGATGTGAGCCCAAGAGGCCTGGAGGGCTGATCCTGGGACTACTGGTCACTTCTGACAAGCCACCAACTCCCGAAGTCCCTGCAGGTCTTGCTGTGGAGGTGACAGGGGATGCCAAAAGGGTTGAGCCTGGCACTTTGCTTCCAGCTGGGCAGGAGAAGCTTTCTCATGGGTCCTCCATGAAGTCACCCAGCGGTTTTGGTTAAAAATTACCCGAGGTCCCCAGCAAGGGTTGCTCAACTTCACTGCGCTTCATCCTGGCGTCGGTCCTCTGTTTGAGAGGATTGGTTGTGTGTCCCCCATCCCCATGGTGACTCTGGGTGCTGCCCAGAACCAGTGCCTGCTCCCCACATAGGCATCCCTGGGGCGGACCTTTGTGCCAAGACCAGGCTGGGACAGCGCTTGGCTCCCATCTCCCGCAGACACTAACGGGCATCTGCTCCGGGATGGCCTGTCCAGTGTCACTTGCTCAGGTGACAACACAACTGGGTGCTTTAATCTCCATCTGTCTACTTCTGATGGGACTTACCAGCAAAAAAAAAGGAGTAAGCAGAGCACCAAGCCAGCTTGTTTCTGTGAGGAGCGCTGTGGTTGATAGAGCTTGAGGAAGAATTTGTAGTAACTTACAGAAAAATGTCATTTTTTTTAATTATAAAAGAAACGGGGGGATTTTAATGTACAGAGCTTGGCACGTGGGACCTGCAGAGCTGCCAAAAGCTGCTTGGCTCCGTGCTGGTGAACCAGAGCACGGCACCATCCCTGGTTACCCCAGTTGTGGTGGGACGGTGCTGGGGGAGCTAACGGGGCTTGGACCTCTCGCTCCATCCAGGATGTGTGACCGCAATGGTGGGAGGCGGCTCCGGCAGTGGCTGATTGAGCAGATCGACAGTGAGCTGTACCCTGGGCTCATCTGGGAGAACGAGGAGAAAACGATGTTCCGCATCCCGTGGAAACACGCTGGGAAGCAGGATTACAACCAGGAGGTGGATGCTTCTATCTTCAAGGTAGAGACGGATGGTTAATGCCTTTTCTTGATGGTTCCTGGGCTCTGTGACACTGGTTTTTCCCTTGCTGACAGTCCCACTGGTGGGAGATGTCCATGCTCTCCATAGGTTTTGCATCTCTGACCCTTGCAGGAGATGCTTCACCCCACAATTGGTCTCCCTGACTCTTTTAGGGGGACTTGTTCCTTTTTGCCAAATGTTGGTACCAGTTTCACATTTGTTTTCAGGCTGTTGGAATCCTGGTCTGAGAAGGAGCTGGATGTGCTCCTTTTGCCCTGCTCTAAACTTTTTATCAGGCTATTGATAAAAGGCTGGATTTACCAAAAAAAACCCCACAATGACTTTGCAGAAGGGAAGGAAGTTTTGGATTTCACTGAAGTGGGGGGGAGGTGGGGATTTCCAGTTTTGGGGAAAAACTGGAAAATTCCCTCCCGAACTGTAAAGGTCAAGCTCTTCCCTAGGAATGCCCATCCCTCTGCCCCTGCTTCCAAATATCTGTGAGCAAGTTCACTTTCAGGGCAGTGACTGCTGGGTAGCAGCTGGTTTGGGAGCACTGAGTTGTGAGGATGGCACTGAATTCAGCTGTCTGAAGATATTTATAGATCTATAAAATAAATAGGTATTAAAACATGTATTATTTTTTAAAGATCCATATCCCTTCAGTAGTGAAATGTATTCTACCACCAAATGCACAAATGACATTCTATCTTAAAAAGAAACCAGCTTTCATTTTTCAGTCAGGAGCTGGAAAAATGAGGTATATTTTGATTTTTTTTAATTGGGGTGTTACCAGGTTATTGGGAACACCGCTGCTTCAGCAGTGATTCCTCTCATCCTCAGCCCCTCCTGCCCTGTTCACGCAAAGTTGAAGCCGCGTGTTACGACCTCGACCTCTGCTTTTTAAAACCTGGGTGCTACCCCCCTTCCTGCACCCAGGAGCATCGCTGGGGCGGGTGGTGCTGCTGCTCTGCACCCAGAGACCCGTCCCCACGTGCGGCAGCTGCGCACGTGGCCGCAGTCTAGGAGCGAAACGGCGAATACGCGTGGGATGGTTGAGAGGGTGCGAGGGGCGGGGAGAGCAAGCTGCAAAAGGCTCTCTGCAGCCTCAGCTCCTTTGCCCCTGCAGTTGAGGGGATTTGCAGAGCTCCCACGGTGGATTATTTCTCTTTTGTTGTTGTTTTGTTATAGGCCTGGGCTGTTTTCAAAGGCAAGTTTAAAGAAGGTGACAAAGCAGAGCCGGCCACGTGGAAGACGCGGCTGCGCTGCGCTTTGAACAAGAGCCCTGACTTTGAGGAGGTGACAGACAGGTCCCAGCTGGACATCTCTGAGCCTTACAAGGTCTACAGGATCGTACCAGAGGAGGAACAGAAATGTGAGTGCCCCAATAAGGGACTGACCCACCCCCCCCTGCGGTGCAGGTTGGTCCTGTGAGTAACCACAGACTTGTGCTGCTGACCTACATCTGAGCGGAGCTTCCTGGCTAGACTCTGGTCTTGGGCCGTGATGCTTTGCTTGTCCTGCTTAGCAGAAGGTGTCCCCTGTGTCACCACAGTGGCAGGAGGGAAGGATAAGCATTTTTTTCCTCTCCCTGCAAACAGCTGCTTAGGAAATAGGGGATAACCGCAGCGCCGTGGAAGCGGCCATCCTGTCAGGATGTTGTAAAGGCAAATCCAAAATCCTTCCCCCCATTTGGAGAGGCACTTGAGCCCCAGCACCTGCCCTGGGTGGGTGGCAGGGAGCTGCAATAAATCCCTTCTCTCCTGCCAGCAGTGATTAGAGTAGCAGTAATTTCACAGAAGCGGTTGCTGCTGCGATGTCCGGTGCGGCGCGGGTTATGCTAAATATATTTCTATTTGTGGTTGGGGGGGGGTGTGTGTGTGCTTTTTCCTTTTTTTTAAGTCAAAAAACCTGTGAAAAAGAAAGTCTCGCTGTCAGGAAATCTACCTTTAGCATCTTGGTCTCCTCCGGCCGCGTTCACACGGGGGGGCTGGCCGCCGCTATGCAAATGGGCAGCGCAGGTTCCCACCGGCGGTTCTCGGGGTGGCTGGCAGAGAAAAGGAGAAGCGACAGCAGCAGCCCTGGTCTCTGGGGTGCTCCAAAAAAAAAAACACCCCCAACCCTCTCCTCTGCTCTAGCTCTGTCTCTGCTAGCGGCCAGAGTTTTGATTTGATTTGCTGCCGGTCACCGTGCGCTGGGGCGATGGGGTGCGGACTGGTTTTTGGGCCTGAAAAAGAGCTCTGGGGGGAGCTGGAGGGGGGCTGCGAGCCCCCCGTGGGGTGCTGTGGTTCTTCGTTTCGTAACTTTCACGGGGTGAAGGGTTTCTAAAACCCAGTGGTGAGATGAGCCGCGGCTGGGAGGTGTGTGTCCTCACTGCATCCCGGCCTCTCCTTCCAGGCAAAGCGGGCATTGCCAACGGGAGCAGCCTGAATGACGTCACGGAGATGGACTGCAGTTCCTCTGCCATCGATGACCTCATTAAAGAGGTAAGCCCTCACCACGGCGGCAGCTCGCCTTGGCCAGAAGGGGACGGGTGGTGTGGGAATTGCCTGATAAAGCGTCGCCTTCCTAAAATACAACCTGCAAAGCCTTGGGAATCCGCTTGGGAACCAGCTGCTCTGGTGTGAGCCGGTGCCAGGACGCTGGTGCTGAGGAAGGGCTCGTGCTTTTGGTTTGCAACTGGGCGGGTGAGACCTTTGCTGGGGGACAGAGGCTGTTTCACAGCTCTGTGGCCCTTCTCCGTGGTGTCACCTTGGGCTGCATCTGCTCACCGGCTCTCAAAGGTGTTATTTGAGTGTACAG